CAAGTTCGACTTCATGTGAACACATTTAACGACGGTCCGCTAAGGGAAATTGAGATCATACTTAATTTTCATTGAGACAATATAATCTGATAGACCCCACATTTTTATTATCTCATTTTTAAATTTTAAACACCCCACTTATCTTTTACTTTATCTCATTTTTTTTAATTTTAAATTTATCACCATTTGACAAAACCAAACAAAACTCATCATTGGACTCCACCAAATAAAACCTTTGCATATTTAATCTTAAACCCCATGTGCCATTTAAATCTCCAAAACCTTTCTTTTTCTTTTAGTCTTGCACCACCTTCATCACTTTCACGATACCAAACAAGCCTTCACAACCGCACCTCACCTTCTTCGTCGCTCTTTAACCATTGTCATTTACGGTCGGGACCACCATTAAACCAGGGGAGTAATTCTGTTTCCTCTCTTGTGCTTTTCTATTAATACTGGGATAATATGTTATAAGTGAGAGGTAAAATTTGCTATCAAATTTTTCGTTTGCTTGTTTGATTGGTTGGAATTAAGTTGTTATGATATTGATGTGTTGGAATCTTTAGTTACTTATCTTAAAATTCACTTTATACTCTTGCTTCCTTTTGGATTGTGATCATGTTTTGATCGAACTTAATTTGCATGATGATTATTGGTATAGCTGGTGATTTTCCGTTAAGTATTGATATTTTCGTGCATTTGCTGATGGAGATGAACTTGACTAAATACATATAAACATTTCTTGTGAGATTTGAGTCTAACGAGCATATATTTTCTTTATTGCTTATTGTTTGATTAAGTGTACCAGACTAATTATGATATTCTAGAACTCGTAATCTTAATACATATCGAGACTACATGTTGGGCATAATATTTTAATGTGATAGAGACACTTAGGATTAAACTCATTTTTCCCCCAAAAAGCCTACTCATTTATATATCTACTATTGAACCAATTTTTTAGCCTTTATCCTTTTTCTTTGTTTTTACCACATACCCAAGCCTTTATTTTCATCCCTCTTTTCTATCAATATTAAGAAAAGTAGATTAATTATTTGTTTTATTATTTAACTATTCTTGTTATTTAAAAAATGGTTCAAACAATTATGACAGTACAATGCAAAAAAAAAATTAAAAGAAGAAAAGCAAAAAAAAGAAAAAAGAGGTGATTTATATTTATGCTTATGTTTATTAGTTTACTTTCATTTATTTTATGAAGTTAGGAACTATTTGTAAATTCTTGTCTTGGTATTTAAACCGATCATCATGGCCTTTTCCATACCCTAACATAAGCCCCATTACACCTTGATTTAAAGACCCCTTGATTATTGCATTATGTTCACTTTTAGTAGTGGAGACTTGATTGAATTCCAAGTCTATGATAATATCTTAGTTAGTTTCGGTTTTAGTGATTTTAATTTACCTAAACACTTTGAGCGGATATGTGTGAATCTGTGTGAATATGTGTGAGATATTGAGTCATGTTTCATTAAAGTTGGTAAATAAATGGGTATTTTGCTTGCTTTAAAAATTCTTCTTAGTTGTGTATTTGCTTGATTGTATCCTCAATTCGACAATTGTCATGGACTTAGTTCGATTGAAAGTTTGAGGAATAAAGTGAAATTGAAGATGACTACTTGCTATTTTGATGTGTTAATTGAGGAATACTTGAGAACAAGTATAGAATAAGTGGGAGAATTTGATAGGTGGTTTATTTGGTTATTATTTTGCCTTTAAATTGCTCATTAGTTGTTGATTTTTGTGGTTGATTTATTCGTTTTGATTTATTTTCTGTACATGACACTATATTCTGGAAATTGTACTTAAAGGATAAAAAATTCTGCATTTTTTTTTATTTTTGGAATCAATGTTGGATTAGTAGGCATGACTCTGGGCATGACTCTGGGCATGACGCATCTGACGTGACATTAAGTCAGTACCTTTCAGAAGGTCCAGTCAACGTTTCTAGAAGGACAAATGGATATTTCACGTTTTTGAAATTCGAATTCAATTTAATCTCATGTTTTTAGGATTTTATTTTAAATATTTTAAGAATTATTTTTAGGAATTATCTCTTATTTTTAAGAATTATCTTTTCATTATTTTTAGGGATTTTGAAGACTATAAATATTTTCTCAGGATAAGCCTGAAAATACATTCAAAATTCATTATTCTTATTTGGTTTGGGTTTTATAAAAGTTTTCTTTTATTTTTCGAAGTTTTCTTTTATTTTTCGAAGTTTTCTTTGTTTTTATTTTTATTTTTAAAGATGCTAAGTATGATTGTCATACTTAGCTAATTTCTCCATAAGCTAAGGGCTAAAGCGATTTCTCAATTCCTATAGTGAGAATTGAAAAACACTTGAAATACCTTCTGGTTATTTTTTCAATTTTCTAGAGAAATAAGATAGGTAATCAACATATCCTTTAAAATCAAAACGCTTTTAAATTAAAAAGTCAACATTGGTTTGTATATTGTTATTGTTTAAAGTTGAGAGGAAGAATCGATTGGTAACAAGTTCGACTTCCTTTGAACACACTTAGTGACGGTCCGCTAAGGGAAATTGATATCAGGCTCGATTTTCATTTAGACAACATAGTCCGAGTCGGGTTTTTCCAAAGATTTTAAAACTGACTTGGTGCTGACGATGATAGTCGTAGTTAGTCCACATAAGGACTGGAATTCAAAACTAGTTTTGGGATTTTCGGTTTACAAGAGAGAAAAATAAGTTATACAGGTTGGTCCCGTAAATATCCAAAGTGAAAAATCTATTTCAATGATCAATTTGAATTGAGGCAAAAGCAGAAGTAGACTTCTTTGATCATAAGTTTTTCTTATCTCAATTTATTTATTTATTTATTTATCTTATCTTTATCTCAAATTATTATTTTTTAAATAATTTAAAATTCTCTTTTTTTTTTCTCTCATCCCTATCTTTTCTCATCCTTATCCAAATCTAAATAAAAAATTCACAACCACATAACTTTCAAAATATTTGTAGACCGATCCTACTTCTCTTTACTACTATTTCTTTTATTTATTTATTTTTGAGAAGAAAAATTATTTCACACTAATACAACGCATGTCAGGAAGGAGCCCATTTTGGTTTCTATGCGACTCCAAATCCTGCTGCATCCCATTCATATCCTTATGGCCAGCAGCTTTTTAACGGTGCATATGGTTTACCACCACAATATCATACACAGTAGCTCAGCTTTGTTTTTGCCTGTGGTATGCTTTTGGATGCTACGGCATCAATGCACCTGTAGTTGGTCACTTCTGCATTTTTTATGGCAGAAACTAGGTTTAGTCATTGATAATTTTACTAATTGACCCGAATCCTGAATTATGTAAATGATATATGCCATATTCTCCTAAAGCACTTTTCAAAAGTTTTTTTTTTGCTTTGTCCATGGAGTTGGACCTTAATATTCTGTAAAATTTATGACTCTAGATCTTGTATTTAATGACTAACCTTTAAATTTTGTAAATGTCTGGTAACTGGTTATTTGCTCATGTTGGGGTTAAAGATAGCAGGCTCCATATAGTTTTAAGTGATTAATTTCTAAGCCAACCGGAATCAGAATAAACAAAGGAAGGGTTCCATTATTAAATCTATAAATTTAATGTTCCTTTCCATGGTATCCTTATTTATTACTATCCGTTGCTCGACGGTAATCTCTGAGATGCAGATACACAGTTACATGATTGTTGATTTATGAAACTTGATTTGCGTATAATAGTTCAATGATACGGAACACTAGCTCTACACTAGTGCCTTCCCTGTTTCCCTTTACCATTTATGTCCAACACATTTTTAATGCTAGCTAGATTGCTGTAGTTTTTAGCTGTTCTTTTTAAATGCAAACATTAAATAAAATATATAAAGAGAATTTGCACAGATCTGTTTCTGTAGTACCCATTTTCAGTCACGTTGCTTGTGAAAGTACCCAATGCTTAAATTTCAACATCTCTTCTGTGGCAAATTGGCTTGAACCTGAGCAACAGCTTTACCTTTATTTGTACATATATAATTACTTATTTACTCAAATCTCTTTGTCTGGTTTCAAGCTAAAAACCATTAATGCTCAAATTCCATAACTTCTTTCTTCCAGAAATAAAGTTTGTCAGTACTCATAATGCTCTTTTTAAACCTTTTTATGCATAATATGTCAGTAAATTCCTGCTTTGTTCCCATAATAATATCATCATCTGTCCTTTATAATGTTTATAGCAATGGCTTATTTATTGCATGCATACAAGGAATTTAGGTTAATTGATTGAAGGTAAAGAAGAAATGTGTCTTGACATGGATTTTCAATTTTTTGACTTTGGGTTATAATTGAAAAGTTGTCTTATCTTTGCTTGTGAATGATCTTGTGAGCTTAATTCAGGTAATTTTAACTTTTTTTAAACAACCTATTAAGAGACTTAATGGTTAAAGGCAATATTATTATCTCTTAATATTTTGAGTTTAAATAGTTGTACTTGTAGAGTGTGCGTGTGTTCTCAATAATTAAGTAAAATTTTGAACATATACTACATCATAATTATCTTAGACTATTCAAAAAAAAATCTTAAATGTGAGACAAATCTCTTTCAAATTTAAACTTAAGAGATAGATCTTAATTAAGACATAGGGCATTTATCTAAAAATTTTGAAAAAATATTTTCAACTCTTTAAAATGTAATTAGAACCTATATTTTAAAATATTCTCATTAACTATATTATTTTTTATAATTTAATTATACTTTTAGAATTTTTAATTTAACCTCAAAATTAGTTTTCCGAGATCCACCATTCTTGAAACATCAAATTCCTTCCCTATATTTACTGTGCATATATGAAAGAGTATTTGTGAAGTAAAGGTTTTACCTGTTAATAAATAAAAACAAAAATAGAAATGGAGAAAGCAAATAATGGTATGATCTTTGTAGATAACACCAATGATTGCTATGACAGAATGGGTCACCTTTTGAAATTTTAACCACCTTTCAAAACCATTGTTGAAAGCTTAACAATAAAATTTAAATTCAAGAAAAAGAAAAAAATATATATTGGTAAGGCAAGGAATGACAGAAGCCCCAGACTCAGATCCAGTGTAACAAGTCAAACACTGTCAATCTCCTCTGATAGCCTTCTCCAACACACTAAAACAGTACAACTCACTCAAAGAAGTTTCATTTTTTTTAGTATTTAAGAGTTTGTAGACAATCCAAACAAACTAAACAAAAGGGCAAATTTTAACTTAATTTACTAATGTAACCCTCCCTTCTTTTTCTTACAGGACATAAAAGATCAACTCCAGTCTGACTCTCTTCACTGTCTTGTCTTTTTTGTTTTGTTTTCCTTTGGTATATTGTAAAATGGAGCAATTAGCTGCTTCTTCTTCTTCTTACTCTTCGGCTGTTGATGCGGGTACAACTCAGCACGATCCATCGGCTCCGGGTGGTTCAGGTGGAGCTCGGTACAAGCTAGTGGCTCCAGCTAAGCTACCGATCTCAAGGTCGGCTTGTATTACGATCCCTCCTGGGCTTAGTCCTTCTTCTTTCTTGGAGTCTCCTGTTCTCCTTTCAGATGTTAAGGTTAGAGCTGCTTTTTGATTTTTGTTTCTGGGGTTGTATTGGTTTATGGTTATGTTTGTTTCCCGAGAAAATAGAGGAAAGTAAAAAAAGTTGGTTACTTTTTGAAAATTCACTGGTCAAATTGATTTCTTTCTTTTGTTGGGAAGAACCCATGATTTTTTAGTTGATTGAGGAATTCAGCAGTGTGAGATTCGAAGTTTATTTATTTATTCATTTATTGACAGTAGCTTTCAGTGGAGAATTTTTCTTTGGTTTGGGAATGATGTGATTGGAACTAATTTTCAGCTAAAGATGTGCTTAAGAGGGAAAAATAATGCGTTTACTATATTTGTTTGCTTTCATTTTTGGGTTCTTTAAATGCTTGATTTTATATATGAAGTGGTTCATGATGTTGGAGGCCTTAAAGCTAAAAGAAAAGATTCTGATGCTTCACCATTGCAATTATTAGATAAATTGTGAAAATACAGCTCCGTACCCATTGATTTCTATATTGTGGAAAGAATTAAGGTTTCTCCATTTCTTAATGTGTTGTTGTTAGTATAAGATATCTAGGTTGAACCTTCTTTTGATTGTAGAATTGTGGCTTCTTTATATACATATTAGAGACTTTTTCCATTTTGTGGAATAGATGCTGGGATTGAGGTGGACTGGAGTGGATCCATGGATTGATGCTTCATAAAGGGTTACCGTTTGATTTTATATCGGAAGATAGAGGTTTGTTTGATGTGTTTTGCATAGAGACAGTGGGAGAAAGGGTGGGAGAAATAGAAAGTTGGCGGGTCAAGGTTTAGAGAAGAGATTTAATGGAGGGTATGACATTAGAATTCGCGAAAGGGATACGAACTTGTTTTTCGAATTCGTAGGGTTTACTGGGAAAGTATATGAATGATATTGTTCTGGAACCTTGCCCCCATCCGTGCTTTCCCTTTGTTTATATTATGTTTGGCAATAAATAAACAGGATGAAATTTGTTTGTTTAATATTTTGATCACTGGCTGATTTGAGCTTTATATACTTAATTCACGCTGATAATAGCTGCGCCAAGTAACTTGTTTTTGCTTCTTGTTCTTCAAGGTGGAGCCTTCACCGACTACCGGTTCTCTCTTTAAGCCTCAAGCGGTACATGCCTCTGTTTCTTGTAATACATATTCAGTGACTGCTGCGTGTTCTAATGCTTTTGATGAAAGAGATTCAAGCTCCTTTGAGTTTAGACCCCATCCTCGATCGAACATGGTAATTTCCTGATAAATGTTGATCAAAATTTAGATATGATTTTCCCCTTACCACCCCCTCCATCGTTATGTGGTTTGTGGTGCTAATGTACAACTGTTTTTTCCCCTCTTATTCAAGGCTTATGCAGATTTAGATTGTCAGAGAAGTGATCAATCTCGGCAGATCCAAATTCAATACCAGCCTATATTGTTCAATTCATCTGCTTCAGTTAAGAGTGAGATGGTAGCCTCAGATGAATTGAGCCTTTCAGTAGCTGTTAATACTGCTACTTCCATGGTTAGTACTCCTGCTGAAGTTGACGGAGATGAATTAAACCAGTTAGGTAACCCGAACAGCGGGTTGCCGTCAGGGCAGTCTGATCATAGAGGATTTGGCCCTGTGTCATCGGATGATGGATACAACTGGAGGAAGTATGGACAGAAACATGTTAAAGGATGCGAATTTCCTCGCAGTTATTACAAATGTACACATCCTAATTGTGAAGTAAAAAAACTATTTGAGCGATCTCATGATGGACAGATTACTGAGATAATATACAAAGGTACACATGATCACCCTAAACCTCTGCCTGGCCGCCGATATTCTTCTGGTAATATCATTACCGGCCACGAACAAAGATCTGACAAGGTCTCATCGTTGAATGGTAGAGATGGTAAGGGGAAAAAAACTATACATTCAGTTCTATCTGTCGAGTGCCATTTTTTTTTACGTATGAGTTAATCTTTTCTTTTCTCCATTTTAGACAAGCCATCCTGTGGTTATGGCCAGATAGCTCATAGTATTGAGCCAAATAGTACTGCAGATCTATCTCCTGTCACAGCTAATGAAGATAATTTAGATGAGATTGAAGATGATGACCCGTTCTCGAAACGGAGGTATTGTTAATTTGTATTGGTCAATAGATGCTTTTATGCTTCTATTTTTTGGATTTGTCTGGTTGCTAATGCTACTAGCAAACTACGAGCAGGAAGATGGATGGTGGGATTGATATCACTCCTGTGGTGAAGCCAATCCGGGAACCACGTGTTGTTGTTCAGACCGTGAGTGAAGTTGATATATTGGATGATGGGTACCGATGGCGCAAATATGGGCAAAAAGTAGTACGAGGAAATCCTAATCCTAGGTATGTATCATTGAATCGATGATTATAGAGTTAGAATGTCATAAGTTACAATTCAGATCTTTTAAGAAGCTCATCTGTTTCGACATACAGCTTCTTAAAACACCATATTGGTTGCTTACCGGCATAAAACTCTGATTGAAGCATGTTAGCTTTCATGCCTTGTCATAAATTAGATATGATACTTGATTGCTTTAGGATCTTTTATTCAGTTTATCTTCGAGCATTATTTATTATTTTTGTTGTTTTGTGTATGGTTATGTTGCGTGCTGATTTCAAGGCTCATATTCGAGAGTCGTTTGCACATGACTGTTCTTGACCATAGCTTTTTGTTATTTTATTTTATTATGGTTTCTTACATTATATGATATGTTTTCTGCTTGCTTATTCATGTAGGAGTTATTATAAGTGCACGAATGCCTGTTGCCCGGTTAGAAAACACGTTGAGAGGGCGTCTCATGATCCAAAAGCTGTTATAACCACATACGAGGGAAAACACAATCACGATGTGCCTACTGCAAAGACCAGTAGTCATGATACAGCAGGACCATCAAGGATTAGATCAGAAGAAAATGGTGCCATTAGCCTTGATCTTGGTGTTGGCATTAATATCGGTCCGGAACATACTTCAAATGAGCATCAACGATTACATTCTGAACTGGCCCAATACCGCCCTCAGAATGGTTTCAACACGGTTCAACCTACTCCGCTGGCAACATACTATGGTGACATGAATCAGTATGGATCTCGAGAAAATTCGAGTGAAGGGCGAGGTGTTGGAATTGCACCCCTAAACCATTCTTATGCATTGCCACAGAGCATGGGAAGAATACTAACAGGTCCATAAATCTGTTAACAATGAAGGTGGCTGAATAAAAAATATGGACAACATTTCATCCCCCCCCCCCAATCTTTTTCACTGGTAAAAGAAAAGAATCGTCTTCTGAAAATCTGGAATTTTCCTACTATATACATATGTATATATGTATGTATTAGTTTACCATTTCAGCTTATCTTGTTATGTTGCCAATCACTATTTGTATTAAACCTGGGAGCTTGTACAAAAGTGGAACGGATACAATTTTATTTTTCACAGGAAAGTGTTTGTAAAACAAGTTCTTGTAATGGAATTTGTAAGAAATACAATATATATTTTCTATCATATCTTAAGAATGTGAGCGTTGTCGTAGTTTTTAACTGAAATGTGACGTTTTCAGGCCAATGGACCAACTAGCGTCATATCCATGCAAAAAGAACATATCTATAACTATGAAATGTTAACATTACAGAGTGGAAAACGCATAAACAAGACAAGTTGCAACAGTTAACCATTAGAAATTAATCACTAACATTTAATTCTAGAAACACCTTATTTACATTGCATCCCTGGAAATGACATGGTTACCAAATAAGCTTTAATCTTTTGTTTTTGTCATGTTTTCTTTTTCCAAATAAAGGTTGTATCAACACTGTCAAAACAGTTATCAATCGGTTAACATCTCCATGCACAGGATTCGACAATAGCTCGATTCATCCAGCCGAGATAAAGAACATCATCTCTCTCTTCAAGTGTATACTTGTCACAATAGCTTTGCAGCAGAGTTTTGATGGTATTGTTGACGAATGAGCTTAATGGAGAGGGTGTAAAGCCAGCCATAATAAACCTTGATCTCCATTTGCCTAGAAGTTCATGACGTTCCACTCTTTCAGGCCCTTCGCATGCTATAATGTTGACGATCTCCCGGGCCAGACAGTGCTGTTCAGTTTTGATCCGCTCCTTGTGTTCCCTTGGCAGGCTAACATCAATTGATTCAAAGATAGCCAGATAATGACCCATTGTCTCCATGAAACGGGGAAGGAACGGAGCGGTATTTGTATTTGCTTCTTGCTCAACAAGGGTCACGACCTTCGGGGACAAACTCTTCACCAACCTCAGCAGCCTGTCCCGATGGTTCTCCGTGCCCACACTTTCATCTGGCATGTGATGCAGCATCATGGCAAAATTTACAGCAATGGCTTCATCGGGTTGAATCCTGAGGTTTTCAAGTTGAACCTCAGTACCAGAAATAGCAGCTGCATGGAACTCAAAGGGTACCTTACACGACTCGGCAAGCTTGCGTAGTCGCTGCCCCACTATTTCAAGTCCTCCCCCTCTGGCAAAAGATGATGTAGGGTCATCAATGCCGGTTATACGGATGCTTGGTGGTCCTCCAGGCCGAGAGGCAAGGGCATGGATTAGGGTCAACCATTGGCTTCCTTGGGCAATCTGAAAATCAATTATATGGACTCGACTTTCTTCTTTCATGGCTTCAGCAATTGCCCCATTTGCCGACATATAGCCAAACTTGAAATACGGGCAGATTTCATAGAGGATGTGCATGTATGAAAGCAGTTCAACACTAGCAGGTTCTTTACATCTGAGGGCTTTGTAGATAGAACTTCCTGATGAAGCCAACCTTGCAACAAGACCTTCCACCATGTAGGCTCCTAGACGTTGTATTGGTTCACCCGAAACTGACACCATTTGGTGCAATTGCGTAATCAAACAGTCGGCCACATACATATCTTTATTTTCTATAGCTTTGGCACAAGCACAAAGCAGTTCTTTCAGGTCCCCTCTGGCGATCATTTCCATCATGTATTTCCACCTCTCTGCTTCGGTAGAGACTTCAGTGGCTCTGCCGGAAGCGGCAATTGAATGAAGGTCAAAATTATCTAAATCGGAGCCTAACATAGCAGTTTCCAATTGTCTTATCATGTGCCCCAAGGCATTTTCATTGTCTATTACACAAGAACCGCTTATTGGTGAACCACATGTATATTCTGGGGAATGATGAAGGTTTGATGGGTACGAGTAGTTCTGCTGCGAAACAGGACTGCCATCGGGTGAGAAACTGGCTGTCGAAGAAGAGTTCTGCATACCGGATGACGAATCAAGGGTGCAGTACTGATCTGGATTATGAACCGATTGTTGCACACCATTGCTGCCGTCATCAGAGCCAGATTGGTACTGATCTAAGCTTTGGTTGGGAGGCAAACAATAGGACTCCAACTCTTTGACCGGCTGATCGAAGTAAGTACCTGAAATTTTAGGTTTCTGAGACATTTGCATCGGTGCTGGGCATGGGATGAATAAACACATCAATGAGCTGAACCCGATGTATTCTGCATAGACAGTCACCAAAACTTTAGCTGTATTTATGATGGAGAAAAGAACAGGTACCGATCCGAAAAGGTAACACCAGCTTTTCATTTATATCAGCAGAAATCAAACAATAAAAATAATGCACAATAAAGCAAATGGGTTTAGGAACACAGGAGGTTTATCGAATCTTCTTAATCCACAAATGTGATGACCTTTATATGGTACATACTACATAGCATAAAACACAAAAGACCCTACATAGATCATACATGAAAAGCTTAACAAGGCGAACAAAGAGAGCAATTTCATGACGAAGGTTTCGCAGCCAACACCTAATTAAGTTCGCGAAAAAAGATTGTATGAATGAAACCAGAAAGTCATTTACCTGGGAAAAAAAGTTTATATAAGCAGTTTAATCATTGTAAAAAACGGAAATCATATCATAGATTTATGCAACCAAGCTTTTTCAGTAGAACACAGTAAAAAATTTGCAGAATCTGGTATCAGTTGCTAACATAGAAAGTTCTTTAAGGTTTGCTGAAATAAAAGGAAAACAACAACAACAACAAACATTCATCATATAGGATGAAGCTATGAAATTATTTTACATTTTCCTAAGAGATAGAGGGGATTTCAAGGATAACCTCAGAATCTGTAAGAGCAATGGTAAAATCTTTTATAGAACATAAGAAAACAGGGTTTAAAGATGAAAAGTTAGTTAATTTCAAACATGCATGAACATAAAGATTACACCTTTTACAACCGTAAGTATATCAGCAACACAAATTCATTTCAGACCAGAAATACATCAATTGAATCCTACAAAAGAAGCACAAAACACTAAAAAAAACTCTGAAATCAACCCCAAAATAAAAAATAAATCAAAGAATAACAAAGAATCTAGTAATTTTCAATAAAAAGAATCAATGAAATATTTCTTCCCATACTTTCTTTTGATTCCCCTTTCAACTTAAAAATTTTAGTAATCCGTTTGGGTTTCGAAGAACAAAAGATCTGAAAGGAGAATCTCAAACCAGGAAGTGTCAAGCGCAAATTTCCCAACCACCAAGGTGCCGATCTTCAACTTTATAACAGAACTTTGTTAACAAATGACATCCTTCATTGCAGAAATTACATAACTGACACTGATAAAATGACAGATTTACTTACCTAAGACATGAATCACATTTCATTACATCCAACCATCTTCCAGATTCAATTTCGTGTTCCCTTCCTTGCATACCACTAGAAGGACCAGAATACCCTCTCTCAACCAAATAAATCCTCCACCAGACGTATGTTGTTCTTATTATTAAATTTGATATTTTTTAGCCTTATCTCTTTGGTATTTGGGGGTAGTTAATCAACATTTGATTAAAGAAAAGCCTTTGAAAACCTCTTATTCCAGTCTATTGGAAGACGTCAGCTCAGAGTCTTCCAAGTATAATCAAATAATGTAACCCCAATGCCATAGTTGTTGCAAATGTCAAAGTCTTCTGTAAATTTCTTTTCAAGGTTATGGATATTATATATATACTACATATATCATGCACCATACTGTTAACAAAGACTAAATTTTAAACCTAACATCATCATATTCGATTACAGATTTTTGTGCCATTTCTTTGATCCACGTGGGGGTCTTTTTAATCAATAACTTACTTTAAATCATATCAAAAGTCTAGTTTAATGCACAAGTTGTTAAATGACGAGTAAGCATCCATCATCCATGCTTATAAGAAAGAAAACAAACATAAAAGTTAAAGCTTTTGCCAAAGTTTTAAACTTTCTTCTTCACTGGTTAAGTAGTTTTGAGATATGCAAGTACCATAGTCGGGAGTATAAGTTTGAAGGAAGATGAAAGCTTTTTAGCTGTAACGGGGGAGAAGGGTATTTTGGTCAGACTGATATTTAAAAAAGGAGACACCTTTTGAAAGTTGACTGATGAAAAAGAACAGAGAAAATGGATTATCTTATCCGAGTGTCAAAAGGATAGGTAAACTTAGCCTAATACTAGATTTGAGAGCATTACCCCTTCAAACATGCAAATGAAATTAAAAAGGACCCACACGGTTTAAGCCTCCATTGTAGCATACTTCAAGAAAAATGAAGTTTTAAAATATTCAATATATTTTCTTTTTTAATGTGAGGTCGAGAAAGTGTATAAACTATCTTTGACTACATAAAGGGGGGGGGGGGAATCTGAGAGTATGGGATAATTATTACATAAACCTACCAGCTCCACCTCTCCCTTTAAACTCATTTTCGAATCTTAGATCTGAACACAAACTGACGTACAAGAACTAACCCAAATGAAATATACATTAAAAAACTGGGAAGATGGTAAGATATACATGATACATCAAGTGTCCTACCTCGTATCTAATGTCTTGTAAGATACTTTTGCCGTGTTTAACAATATTCCAAATTAGAGGACACAACAGATTCGAAAACCTTTTGGAGACGTTCTTATGTTGAATAAAGCTAAATTTTATGACCGAGAAGTCGGAACCGAATTGTTAGACGTGAATTCGCTCAAATTATTTCGTCCATATTAGTCCAAGTTAATTACGTAATACTATATATGTTCTTCAGTGTGTCGGAAATTTTATCAGTTTCAAAGTGCCTCCTAGAGTCACGAGCTCTCTTACAAAAATAATTTAAATTCTGGCGCATGGTAGGACTTTGAACCTGTCTTAAAGCGTATAGAACTTATTTTGATTCCCGATAGACATCACGAGAAACAAAATAGAGTCGTGGCTGTCTTATTTCTCATTTGTTTGAAATAAATTACTTGTTTCTCACCAATTTGCATCCAATTAAGTTTTGCGTAACTACACTGATAGTCACTGAGTTTTAGGGTGCATTCATTTTGGTCACCAAACTTCTAAAACTTACATTACATTAATTAAACTTTTAATTCATTTTTATTACAGTCACTGTCCTTAGCTACCATTAAAATATTGATGCGGCGCGTTAAAAAATATTTAAAACTCCTAAGATACCTTCTATTTGATAGTCTTCGTCCCTTGTTTTGATATCGTTTATGTCATTGTTCTTTCGATCATCGTCCACAATCTTAACCACCAATAACAACAAACAATAAACAACAATAAAAACATGCAAAAAAAAAGAGAATGGGAAATAATCATATCAACTTCGACGAGTTTTGAATGAATAAAGTATTCATTGGTTAATCTCAGTTATGGGAAGATTTCGTTCTTTTAGAAGATAAACATAGTTCGATTTCAAGATGATTTGAGATTGACAATGGTGGATCAAAAAGTTCTAATTTTTAGTTCAACTAAAATTTGAGGAGATTAGAAGATTTTCTGATGAGCTTGTTCAAAAGGAAATAAAGAAAAGAATGAGAGTAGTTAACTTTTTGACCAAAAAACCATTAAATGGTGACCGAAACGATGACAAAATGAAGAGTGATAACTATAAAAAAACTTAGGATTTTTAAAGCGCCACATCAACTTTTTAATGGCAGCCAACGACAGTGAACATAATGAAAGCAAATTACAAGTTTAATGACTATAATACAAGTTATAAATCTTTGATGACCAAAGTAAAGCACCCTAAAAGTTCAATGACCATCATTGCCATTTACCCTTAAGTTTCTATTGAGAACAATTTATTCAATTTAACTCATCCAATTAATGAACACAATCATCAACCTCTTTATTAAATTATATTATTATGAGTACAAATCAAACGATCTTAATGATAGATATTTGTTGTTATATTTTAAGATTTTGAGTTCGAACACCGTATATACATACATATGAGTGTTTATTTTCAAATGATTAAAAGATTTTTGAACATATATTATCTTGAATTCATTTCAAATTTATTAAAAAAAAATTCTACTGATTGATTGACAGATTACCATGTCACATGTTAGGAAGTGGTCTAGCCCACAAAGTAAAACTACACCTTTATCCCTTTTAAAAATATAATATTATAGGTAAATATAAGGATAAAATTACACTTTAGACCTTAGACCTTAAAATTTTTAAGCTTCAAATTTGGCTCTAAATAAATCCATCGTATCCTTTTATCTTTGATTATGAAAAGGGAATTTTCAGTCAAAATCAATATATATTTTTATATGAAAATCCAATCAAAATCTATGCAGGCAAGTCATTTTCCTCATTTTATTGTTGAAATATCATCAAATCTCAAAAGAGAAATATACAGCAAATTGTCAAACCTTTCTGCATAGTCTACATCCGCAAGACAACATCAGAAAACATAACATCAATCCTTAAATTTCAAATGTCTATTTTTTTTTTAAAAAAAGACAACAAATTAACCATTAATTCAAAGGAAATCAATCATTTACAAGACTTTTTTTTTTTAAATCAGCGGCAATAAAAATAAAGATGATACTGTCCTGGTGTTTTTTTCTTCTCTAAAGTCAAGCATTTAGCTATATGGGAAAGTTGAATAATAAATGCTACCAAATAAATTATAAACCAATTTGTTCATTATGGTGATGGTGATTTTACATAAGGAATGACGTGTTTGAGAATAATATAAATTATATATGATTACAAATTTAAAAAACGGTAAAAAAGAAATAATACAAGATTGATATGAAATAAACCATATACAAAAAATAAGATTTAGTGTGATTCGATCTTATATACTTTTATATATAAGAAAAATAAGAATTCAATACAGATGTAAAAATCACAAAGAATGTAAATACATAAGAAAATTTAGTGTCCCAAAAATTGATATGTGACAAATCATACCACCACGTCATGAAACATGGTGTCCTTTGAGGTGCCTTACCTGATTTTGTGTTTTCGTCTCATTTTCTAATCCGATCACTTCCAAATGCTCTCAAACACTATAAAATTCTTTAGTTTTTTAACAATTTTACATATGGGAGAGGGAAGGGAAATTTTTACTCCTGGTAAATATTGAACCCACAATTGAAGGTAAGGTGTCAACTGAAGCTCACTATAAAACTCTTAAATAGTTTAAAGATCGAGGAAAAATACGAGACATAACTATTAACTACTAAATTACTAAACTAACCTAAATTAATGTAAATATTAACAGAAAAATAAAAATGCATGATGAGAAAAAATATGCTAAAATACTAACACATGACATTTACTTAAGAACAATGCAAATAAATAAATAAATAAATTATACTTAATAATATTATAATTTATGTTAGAATATAAGGATACTATTTTTCTTGCCACAACAAAATTTATCTGCTTACTTCACTTCACACTTTTCTTATCTCGGTAAACTTTTTATATCTGTTCATACCATTTGACACTGCATATTTTCATTGTTTATATCATTAGACTTAGATACATAGAATTAGTTAGTGATACCTATTCCTAGCTGTAACAATCTTTTAAAAGCCATTCAATCTCTGTGGAGACAATTCTCACTCACTACTATGTTACTTGCATCAATTGTGTATACTTGCACATATTTGCAGGCCACAACACACACATTTACACGTGATTAAGTTTTGGCGTCGTTGTTGGGGATTGGCAATTGGTGTTTTTAAAAGTTTAGTTATAGCATTATCTTGTTTCTTTATTATTTCTTTATGGATTTATTCACTATTTTTGTTTACACTTTTCAGGTGTTATGCTGTTGCATTACTTGTAAAAGTCCAAAGGAATAATTATCTCATTTTGAACATGAGATCGAAAAAATTTTCTGTCAAAGAAGATGTGTTCAAGGAGCTCAAAGAACTATATATAAAGTTCAAAATGAAGTGGAGGAACCTGAAGAATTAAATGTCGCGGCAAATAAAAATGCAAAGAATGCTGCAAGACCACGAACTATTAGAGATCACTTAGCTCCCACGTTTGAAGACCTAAAACTGCTATTATAGCTCCTAAAATTCAAACAGCCCACTTCGAGCTCAAATCGGTTATGTTTGACATGTTGGCCTTGATTGGAAAATTTGGTGGTATTCCTCATGAGGTTGCAAGATAACATGTTCGAGCATTTGTATGTGCAATGCTTAGAAAGGGTTTGCCTAAGAGTACT